GACTATGTAACATAAGCTGCTAATGTTGGTGGTTGGAGTGATTGTACCTTTGATATTGTTGTGCTAGAAGTGGCTTGTGAATTTGAGCGTAATTGAGTAGGTACATATTGATAAAATGAAATTAGTATGGCTACATTATTGATTGTCGGGTGGTTGGTTTGTTTATCTGATTATCCAATAGAAAAATGAATTATTGAGTTTTTAGTTATTCGAAAACAAAAAGTTTTAGGGCTGAGTCTGAAATTGTGCCCAGTATATGGCATTAAATTCTTTTTACATGAGTTTAAAAAAAACAATCAAAATTTAGTTATAGGTTCGAAAATAATACATCTCTAACTACCTCTTTGAAATATAGTCAAAGTCAAAGTCAAAATCATTTATTTCAATTAGACCGGAAACCACTTTTGAAGGTCAACAAAAAATTAATAATGAAGCTATTTGCTCATTCTAAGGTTTAGATTCCTATGGAAAAGAAACGAGCAAGGTACTCCACGATCACCTACTCTTTTTCATAAAGACGTAACATTAAGAAATTTCGAACTCATCGGTCGCTTATGCATATGCATCAACTTGAATAACAAGAAAGCATCAGATGACAGTGTAATGGCTTAGCCCATTCATCACATCATCTCATAAAACATATTCCACGAAAATCTAAAACGACGTTAAACATTTTAACTGGATACCAGCTTTTTATTGACTTTCACTTGCAATTTCTTTTTAAAAACCTTGATGGCACTTTCTCTGTTCAAGTTAAACATGAAATAATGAGTGGGCACATTCGGATTTGATTAGCATATTGATAATACTATGTCTACATAACACTAGTGTTTTATGACTATGTTTTGACTTATAACCCGGATTTGGGATGAAAGGTTATCTTTTTGATTTTCAAGTCTTTTTAATTGTGGGTGATGAAGGTCTAGAGGTTATTCTGGCCTAGTGAATGACCTTTTTTTTGATGACGGGGGGAATAATATCTTCGAAAGGCGCCTAGCCTCTAGCCTTTTTGGGGATAAAAGACTAGGGAGTGTGGGATTTTTATCTTACTAAAACCACCCCGGTGGCCACCCTCAACACCTGAATGGAGGCACCGGGTCCTCTAAAAGAGACCTGCTCCGGAGCCTCCACGGTGCAACACCTGTTACAACACATCTGTTGGGAGACGGGTGTCTCCTTTAAGCCTTGCTGTGTACGGCGGTACGTGACCACTGTACCACCGTCTTCTCGTTCTTCGTTAGAACTAAGAAGGTTATCTCTAAAGCTCGACTGGTGGATTGTTCGCCTCCTCTACACAAGAAGGTTTCCTGTTTGCTATAGCCCCCGTGAATATCGTAGTTTGAAGTGCAACTGGCCGATTTCTATCAAGTAATATGCAATAGGTACTTGAGTCAGTGCTCATGTCATCCATATATAGATTAGAAGTTACCATACAGCTTAAACGAAACATAACAAAACAAAAACAATAAATAAATTGAATGAAATTTTTGGCCACATCTAGTAAAACTCAGTATCTTTGGCAAATAATGAGCAATGCGGTTGTCATATTCAGGCCACGTTTACAACGCTTACTTTCAATAACTTAGCACTTGGCGTGACCCTGTACGAATATGCCATTCAGAGAAAGTCATCAATCGATTTATTTGGGTGTCATTAGACCATATAGTCGAGAATCAACACCAATATTCCTTTAATATCTTTTAAAGCACCGATTCTAGATTTTAGCCTAAAGTAAAGCTACTTCATAATTATTAGGCTTACTTTATAATGTCTCGTTGGCCTCGTTGGCCGAGTGTTCGCTAGTACGACTGTCGGCCAAGGGGTCTCGGGTTCGATTCCCGGGTCGGGCAAAGTACTACTGAGGTTTTATAAATTCTCAGTAGTAGCACGGAGTCTGGAATTGTGCCCGGTATATGGTAATAGGCTCACCCCCTATTACATGGGACTCATAACCTAAATAGTGAAAAGTGGGTGTTACATTATACAGTGACAATGTACACCTCTGCCTACCCCTTCGGGGATAAAAAGGCATGATGTTAAAATGTTTATGATGTCGTAAGTAGTTTGTATTTTTTTCCTTTTACAATATTCTTTTTCAAAAATTCCAACCAAAGGTTGTATGGTAGGAATCGCCGCGTGTGATAAGACCGCCCATTGTACTCCAATTTCTATTACAATTGAAACTATTTTTTCCGAGTTTGCAATAAAGTACAAAATAAATATATAAGTAATTGCAATAAACTAGTGACTTCAGCATCAAAATTGTTGAGGACGTTCATTATGTTATCTGCCTATTCGTAAGTTCCTATTCCAAAAAAATACATTAGCATCGGTTATAGGAACTTCATGAACATTGCCCACGACTTCGTCCGCGTGGAATAGTGATTCACAGCTCCTGCTCTGTAGGTGATGGCGTGATAATATATAGCCTATATGTTGACCCCACTTGTTAGTAATATTCATGCAAAATTTGAAGTAAATCCATGCAGTACTTTTTGAGTTTAGCCCGGACATACATGCAGACAAACAGACAAAATATCTAAAAACTATATTTTTAGCTTGGGTATCGCTTGTAGACCACAACTACAACTTAAGCATTCTTTTAAAAAAATATTCAATGAACACTTTTCACTTTCCTACGATTTTATTATATGTATAGATATATATATAGAAGAAGATATAGATAACAACTTGATCTCCTACCTCCTCTAAACCGCCACAAACCACACAGATCCACCCAAAAATGATTGAAAACCAAGAAATATTGTATAGAGCATCAACTAAATCTTGTAATCTAATGAATTGGCTGGCAGCAATGTAGGTCGCGTTCACTTTCGATATCAATGGTAAGCCTCGAGTTAAGAGAAAGCCATCGTGGGATAGGCGATTGATCTACATCATAATATCTTTTAAGTTAAAAGCAGAAGTGTATATGTTCATTAAAAATAACTAAATTATCAGAGGCCTAATCTGAGGCCTTAGTATAAGTTTGTTTTAAGTTTGAAGTATTCGAAATGAATATGCGTTCGGCACTCTGATTGGCCGGCGCCAATGAAGCAACCAATTAGAGCGCCGAACGCGTATTCGTTACGAATACTTTAAACGTAAAATAAACTCATACTAAGGCCTCAGTCCCCAATGATCTGCAATGGATCTTTGTTATGTACATGGGCGGAGCTGATTGCATAGCATAAGGCGGTCTGACTGCTCGATTATCGAACTACGTCATAAAAAATCACCAACGTTTAGGCAATCGGATACCCTAAATAAACAATTTAAATTACTTCATCATCATCATCAACAGCCATTAAATGCCCACTGCTGAGCAAAGCCTGTTCTCACATGGAGAAGGTTTGGGCATTAATCGCCACGCTCAATGTGGGTTGGCGATCAAACATATAATAAGAAATTATAAGCCCATGTTTCCTCACGATGTTGTACTTCACCGTTTGTCAGTGGTGTCTAAATAATCTTAGAAAGTACATATAACTTGGTAAAAGTCACATTGGTACTAGCCGTTGGTAGGTTTCGATCCGACACCCTCATTCATGAGAAGTGGGCGTCTTAAGCCTCCGGGGCCACCACGACATATCTAATTTAAGAACATATGTAATTAAATTACTTATTTAAGAGTATTTTTCTCCAATTTGACTGTATTCGGCTGCATGCTCTGAAAAACCCAATAATACTTTACTCAACTCTAAAAACCAAAATTCTCAGTAGTAGCACGGAGTCTGGAATTGTGCCCGGTATATGCCAATAGGCTCACCCCCTATTACATGGGACTCATAACATAAATGGTGAAAAGTGGGTGTTACATTGTACAGTGGCATAATGTGCACCTCTGCCTACCCCTTCAGGGATAAAAGGCGTGATGTTATGTTATGTTTACTCAACTTTAAAAACCTGCTGTTCAGTACTACTACAAAAACACCAATAACAAAAACATTCAATTTACCTTTCAACAACATATCAGAATAAGAGATTTCAAAACAAGATTACGTTATGCGATAACAATCTTAACACTACATAACAATAATAATATAACACAACCAATCAAATGAACAGAACAAAAATTATGTTATTATTAAAATTATTTTGTATTGTACACTGAACCTGTTATTTTCGGTGTTACACCCAGTACTTATAGGTGAGTTATGTAACACTTTTGATAACATAATTTTGTAAAGGTGTGTAATAATTAATGTGTAAGAGGCCTTAACCATAGTCTGGTATGCCATAACCTACTCCTAAACCACTACGTTAGGGCCGATGCCGATTCGGAGTCGCGGAGAACCTAACGGGTAACCGGGGCTCCGGCTCGACGTGCAGGAGAAGGAACGGAGTGGTTTTTAGTCAGTAAGAGTCTGACACTCCCTCCCGCCTCACCCAGACGGGAGCATTCATTCGATGATTTTCCCCCTTAAAAAAAAAACCGCTACGTTAAGTCGTCACATGGTGTGACTCCTGATCCAGATGTACCAGACCAGGGGTTTGGTTGCCATGGAAAAAAGAAAAAATAATTTTTTATAGGTGGTACTGTCTGACTGGATGTCGTGGTGGCCCGGAGGTTTAAGACGCCCGCTTCTCATGCATGAGGGTGCGGGTTCGAAACCTACCAACGGCAAGTACCAATGTGACTTTTTCCGAGTTATATGTACTTTCTAAGATTATTTAGACACCACTGACAAACGGTGAAGGAAAAACATCATGAGGAAACCTGGACTTATAATTTCTAATTATAAGTTTGAAATCGCCAACCCGCATTGAGCAAGCGTGGTGATTAATGCTCAAACCTTCTCCGTGCGAGAAGAGGCTTTGCTCAGCAGTGGGCATTTATATGCTGTTGTTGAGGTGGTACTATCTTGAAGCCAACGTCTGACTCAAAGATCAAACCCGTTAATCCTTGCTTAGATGTCTTTTTGCAATGATCAGACCCACAACGCATTAATTTCCTGACTATTAATTTTTAACTAAAACATTTTCTTTTTTTGTTACAGAAAACATCCGCAGTATTCATCTTAATAAGGTATAATTTACTTATCATCTTGTCCTTAAGTTTTTGTCTATCTTTTGTTCTTTTAACCGACTGTGCATAAAGGAGAGGTTCCGTTTCGCTCCAGTGGTTACTAAGTATAGTATTAAAGTTTGGGTTAAATATTTCTTAGGCAACGTTGGCTTTAATAAGTAGTTATATGTTTAAAAAAAATTGTTATTTAGAAGGCATGATAATATCACAGACTATGTTCCTGATTATGACAGCTAAGTAAAGTATCTTGAATTAGGTCCAACGATCAGGAATCTTTATATTAATATTATTTTTCCAACTTTATGTAATGTGCCCCTCTGCCTTTTATGCCTTTTATCACCGGGGATAAAAGCCGTGATGTTATGTTATGTGTTCATTCACTTAATATGATACCTCTGCCTATCCCTTCTATAACAAAATCCTTTTTTTTTTAAGGGGGGAAAATCATCGAATGACTGCTCACTGCCTGCGTGAGGCGGGAGGGAGTGTCAGACTCTTACTGACTAAAAACCACCCCGTTCCTTCTCCTGCACGTCGAGCCGGAGCCCCAGTTACCCGTTAGGTTCTCCGCGAAGTAACAAAAGCCTAGACACTATCGAACAGTCATACGCCATTAAATCAGTACAATATCATAGTGTTACGACACAATAGTTGTCTAAATGTCGCCTTGTGATGTTGTATGATGGGCCGCATAATTATTACGCTACATGTTGCGGTGCAAGTATAAATTCATGTGTTTTTGCAAACGTCTCGGTCTTTTCGGTAAGAAAACCAAATTTCAGAAATGTATTTTTGGATTTGTTGATGTTTAAATTGCTTATCAATTTACCTTCATAATGAATCAACGTCATGAGTGGGAGAGCCATGCTTTAGCACGAATGGGCCGGCTCGACCAGAGTGTTTCTACAGCCGAGCAGAAAACCGACGTGAAACCACTAGCGTTGTGTTTCGTCGTGTGAGTGAAGTTACTGAAGGCCCAATTACCTCTCCTCCCCAGTCTCCCCAATCCCTGAATCTCTCACAATCCTCAAATTCCCAATACACAAAAGACCGGTAACGCATTTGTAATGCCTCTGGTATTTCAGGTGTCTGAACAATCATGCTTTGGGTGGCGCCATCAGGTGATCCGTCTGCTCGTTTACCGGCTTATCCCATATCGTGACCGGTCTTTTGGGGATTAAGAATTTGAGTATTGTTGAGACTTCGGGCATTGGAGTGATTGGGGATAATATTTACCAGTGAACCATAAACCAAATGGCTTATATATAATTCTATATATTAGTATGACTCCACACAGCGTGTAATAGAGCTATTAGTACCTATAAATATAATTTCGTTCTATTAACTACCTATTACGCAACGTTACCTGACTTAATAATAGTTTACTGCGTGAAACGCAACTCAACATATAATATTAGGTGTTACAGCTTTTCCTGGCTGTTTGGTTGAGTGGATAGAGGTAATACTTTAGATATAAGACCTGTCGGTTGAGTAAAGTATATAGTTTACTTTTGCCAAACGCTCAATTTAGTTGGAAAGAGTTTTTCAATAAGCGCATACTACAGTACTATAGCATGGCTTGAAACCAGTCGAGTTCCTCGTCAAACAGTTACCTTCGTGAGTAAGCCGAAAACATAATAATTAGTTTGGTTTGTTTGACGAAAGTTATTATATTATGTTCTGTTAAAGTTGGAATAGAGAATTCCCATATTTTTCATAATCCAACAAGCAAGAAATGAGTTTAGTATGGACTGCAGTCCATATAGGCAAATAGGCAATTTTCAATTCAAATTTCTGCAATACTTAAGAACGTTTCCAATATTTAAGATATGTAGCTCACTGAAAATTTTTTATAACTCTCCTTGATAAGAATTTGGAATTCAGTCATCATACGCAAAACCTCGACAATATAATTTATATACCAACGACACTGCAAACTGTAGGATTGTTAGTAAGTGACTAATACCCACAGATTGAAGGAAAAATCAATCTGTCTGACCCCAACAAATTGGGATCAGGGCATAAGGATAACGCAGTAGCAATAAAAACCCTTTACAATGTACATAGAATACATAATTCAATGAATTGTAATAATGTTTTTTTCCTTAAAGTGATCCAGTTTATTAGACATATAATATTTTTATAAATGACATTCACAATTACAATTACACAGATGATATTAACCACTTATAGTACACAATTTATCCTGTTGATGCTTTTATTTCTTGATTGTTTTTTTTCCTTATGATCATGCTAATTTAAAATATTTTTAATTGTATACATGCATAAATAAATAGACAATTGTCTGAAATAGAATGTTAGTATTTATGCTATGTTATTATTTGCATTACACAACAAATAAAACACAACATTCTTATATGTTTAACTAATCATCACCCTATACCTGTAATTAACAGTCGCCGTGTCACGGGTCGCGGCATACTGCTCATGAATATGAGCCTCAAGTATGGTTTAAAATTAGTCGAGTTCCTCGAGAGAAGCATTAATCACTACAATTCTTCGTTGTTAGAAACTCTGATTTTGGACACTCTGTATACATATATAAGTATACAGAGCGGATATGAATGGGGTCGTCCTTAGAGGGCACCCTGGACGGACATATACTAACCAGATATATTAAAGGAGGGCTAAATTATATGTACCCTTAACTGACAAGCATCCATGAAAAGATTGATGACTGTTGATGAAGCGAAAGAGATATGTAGGAATCGTAGTAATGGGCGTTCCATAGTCTCTGCCTACCCCCATGGGAGACAGGCGTAAGTTATGTATGTATAAATGTAAAAAATGTTTTACTAACATCACAAAGAGCCATAGGCTAAGACTGTTTTTATCAAATATGTAATGACATATTTTTTATGATATTAGGAATGAATAACCCAAACACTTTTATAAATTTATATTTAGTTACACACATAAGTAAAAACAAAGTATTCAACAGTTACCAGTCACTTGTATAATTAAAATAGATAAAAAATTCAACACATTCACACTTACCAATTAAAAATTATGACTGTCAATCATTACGATTTTAATATAAGCTTTTGTTATATTTCAATTACCTCTATAATATAATATAATTTCAATTGCATTGATTGATTTGAACTGATAAGATATATATAATACATAGAATAACTATGTCTATTATATTATAATTTTATTGATAAGTATAAGTTAGATTCTAATTTTTAGATTAGAGAGGTTCATGTTTCCTACTAGTAAATCTAAGTTTTAACAATGAAGCTTGGACATGTAACATCTTATATTTAATCAAGATTAACATTGAACAGTGTTGTTGAAAATGCTGATGATTGTGTCGTGTTGGCTCGGAGGTAAAGACGCTCGCTTCTCGTGCATGAGGGTGTGGGTTCGAAACCTACCAACGGCAAGTTCCAGTATGACTATTTCCGAGTTATATGTACTACTAGCTGTTGCCCGCGACTTCGTCCGCGTAGATTAATGACTTCTGACAGAATTCATCAGAATCAATTCAGTGCCCAATTAAGATTTACCTATTGTGAAATGATATATCGTAATTTCAATAAATTAAAAATCCCGCAGGGTTCTTACCAGTCCCGGCCCGATCACGTAAGTTTTGAGTAATAAAAACTTCGACTATTGTTGTACAGAATCTCTATGAAATAAGTTCAGTGGTTAAAAGATAGAGAGTCCTGGAGCATTGACGCATAGTTCCCGTTCCCGAGGGACTTCTGTGATAAAAACTATCATACGTTACTCAGGTCCCAAATCATCGTTTTACCGAATGTAATTCAAAAAGATTCAATGATTCTAGATATAATTTTCATTCCCAATTTCACACCAACTATCATTCCCTATTTTATCCCCTTAGGGGTGGAATTTATCAAAATCCTTTCTAAGGAGTTACCTATGTCATAGTAACTTTATGCATGCAAAGTCTCAGCCCGATCGGTTTAAAACTGGCAAAGTATCACACAAACTTTCACCTTCTATATTACCCACATTGGGGTGGAAATATTCAAATACCTTTCTAAAGGGACGTGTACGTCATAATATCTACCTACAAGCCGAATTTCAACCCGATCTGTATAAAACTGACCAAGCCTTATACAAACTTTCATCCCCTATTTTACCCCCTTGGGGGTGGAAATTATCAAAATCCTTTCTTAGCGGATGCCTACGTCATAACATCTATCTGTATGCCAAATTTTAGCCCAATCTGTCCAGCGGTTTGGGCTGTGCGTTGATAGATCACTATGTCAGTCAGTCAGTCAGTCAGTCAGTCAGTCAATCACCTTTGAATTATATATATATAGATTTGATAATATTTGGACACCACTGACAAACGGAGAAGGAAAACATCGTGAGAAATCTGTACTTAAAATACCTTCTATATAATTAATTAAAATCACGGATTACTCACGTGAATGTACTGTTATTAATTAATTTAGTATGTCTCACGATAGTTATTATCAAAACCTTCTATATAAGTTTAAAATCGCCAACCCGCAATTAGCGATGTATTAGGTTTGATTCCCAGGTCGGGCAAAGTATAGCCAAATTTTAAAAAAATCTCAGTAGTAGCACAGAGTTTGGAATTGTGCCCGGTATATGGCAATAGGCTCACCATCAGGCTCACATTACATGGGCCTACTTGCATTAAAAATTATTTTTCACATCGTATGTGTACAGTACTTTGAACTATAACACTGTAAAAATTGTCTGTTTGTTTGTAGACGCGCTAATTCGTTTTGTTGTTAATAGCCCTATTATCGAGGAAACCTAGAAGCCATTGAACATCGCTACAATCAATAGAAACCGCGCGGGTAACTAGTGTTCCATATATTGTGTAAACGATCAATTAATAAGGCATACTTCTATATAGACCTCGTGTAATAGATAGATAGTCTATTGCAAGATATATCTAGACTCCGTTCAACTACTGCAAATTACGAAATACACACACCTCGTGCTCAGTATTTAATTAAATAAATCTAAGT